TTCAAGGCTAGATTATGAGCTATGCCTCAAATTGTGTCTACATGGACCACAGTATCTTCTGTTAATGAAGTTGTATAAGTGAACACTGGTGATGAAGGGAGTAAACAGAGACAGTACAAGAGATGGAGGTTATCTGTACTTGCTTTATAATGCAATTTCCGAAATCCTCCAGCTCTACATGGCACAGAAAATTCACAACAACTGGAATATAAACAAATGTGATACATGCAGATCTGTTCCCAACTACAGAACGTACTTTCACATTTCAGAACTGACCAGAATTTAGGGAAATTTTGACTGTGTTTCAATTTCTTTGTTAATTCAGCATTTCTGTCATGGGTTGATTGTAGATTTACTTAATAAGTATTATTTATCCCTTTTTCATGCATCTTTCTGTGTGGAAATGATGGCTGTGTTCTCTCTGGATGTAGCTTACCTGAACACAACATCCTCTTATTTATGAGATATCATACCTATTGATTTTCAAATAGATGTATGTACTTGCTATAAGCTTTGTAAATGACAGCTGTGCAGATGAATAATCCACTACTACTTTCAAGGAGTTAGTGAAACCAATACACACACACACACACACATCAATCATATGTTTGTCCATATGCGTGCACATGTGTACTTTGTAGGCACACATAATAAACCCTAAAATATGCTGCACATTTAGGTATAGATGGATCTGTCTGGATGTAAGCTGTGTGACCATGAGCCAAAAGCCTTTCAATTGAATACATGTTTCTCCTGATTTGAAAAGTTTCAAGTGTCTCATTTTACTCAATATCCCATTCCTGTATGTGAGTGCTTTGACTGCCTTGTGTACTTGCTACAAGGAAGGGTTGTTGAAGTCACACTCATATGTACAATATATGTTGCACATTGTAGTTGATTTTATTTGCATGATGTTTATGCCCAACATTGCTGAAATGGGCTTCTTCTTTGCACTCTAACTAAAGATACCTAGATGTGTCTAAACCGTGAATATGAATTTACCATAAGTCTATAATAACACTGCCCAAAGTAACCAAGTCCACAATGCTGAGAGTGATCCCAGGCACTGAACCCTTGTGGTAGATGGGGAATAAGAGCTACAATATCACATGGCTCTTTTTCCAGGGTGTTTTAATGTTACAATGATTTTAGTCTATTACTAAATTGTGTGTCTTGAAACAGGAGAATATATGACATTGCCTCTATGAAATGAAAAGATCAATGCACACCTATCCTCAGATGCAAACAGTAGTAACAGTTCAAAATAAGGAAAATATCTTGGAATGAATTATAGAATGAGGAAGTTGTCATGTTTGTACAGAGTGACTACAGGGCCAGAGATGTAAGGAATGCTGGTATCTGAGTAAGGGAAATGCAGGCAACAGACTCTTCTTAAGAGAGAACTTCATTTCTAACCAGGAACAATGATTGCATTTCAGATGCTTTATCTACTGTAGGGGATAAAATGTGATGCTCTGCCTATGAAATGAGCTACAGTAGACATATACATTTTCCCTGAATCTATCAGGTGTGCATGGATAAATTCTAGGTCTGAGTCCACAGAATTGAAGACAGGTGTGCCCTATGTAGTCCAAATTTTAAAATATAAGAGCTCAAAATTAGAAAAAATCACCGTAATCTGACACAGAGTAGTTCATCCCTTCACCACATTTTACTGAATTGCTTTACAGCTTTCAAATTTACAGACCCCAGATGTACTAAGGCTGTGAATTTATTTAGTATATTTGTCATCAAAGCCTACATGCTTGACTCTCCACTATGTGTAAGAGTGATATGTGAGATGAGAAACACTGGAGAGCGAAGAATTTTTAGATAACATGTAACCATTAATTTAGCCTTCTCACTCGGTCAAGCAGCTGGATTGTGTAACGAAAACATGTTATGTGTTAATGATATGAATAATGGGATTCAGCATATTAACTGAGTACAGCACCATCCAGACATTCTTTAGATGATATATAAAGTTTGTGACCAGAACCAGTATCTAATCTTATGAGCACAATGTCATCCAGCCATTAATAGATGAGTTTGGAAACAAAGGAAAGAAAGTGAATCCCTAATGAGCAATCACCATTAATATCAGGAAACTCCATAGAAAGCTAAAATTGTATAAACATTGTTGTTGGTTGTCAACCAGTAATGTAATGTTCTTTTAATTCTAAACACTAGGACAGGTGCAGTACATACACCTGGGACATCACACCACACTGAAGGTCTCTCATATTTTAAACATGAGAAAGGACTGTGATGAAGCTGAACCCACCTGAGTTCCAGAGAGCTGTGAACAGATGGAGGGGCCTGTGCAACAGGCTAACATATGAAACATTGCAGAGCTCATGGGTGAGGGACTGTGAAGAGGAGAGGATCTCTCATCTTCTCTAACTTTAGGGATACTGAGTGTAAATGAAGACATCTGGATTTAATGTACTGTCTTCTACACTCTTTTCCCTAGTCACAAATGTCATATATTAGATCTTGTATTACTAATTTGACTAAAACCCTTTCATTTTAGAAAAATATGCAGAGAAAAATGAAAGATGAAATCTTAAATATAGTGAAAGGCAGATTATGTGATTATTTCCAGATTGTACCTCTCTTTCTCCCCTGAGTTGAGGCCTTCACAGGGTAATGTATCATACCTTGGGACCAGGTCTCCTACAGTAGAACTACATGTGCTCAACACTTAGGATGGAACATAAAGGACTGAGATCCCAAATAACTGTCATGTATTCCAGCTGAAAAAACCTCTTCCCTCTTTATTTCCATTACCTAATAACACAGAAAGCAAAATGAATAAAATTAATAATATCTACATACACATAGGTGTGTCATTCACTACTACACAGGGAATTCCATAAACCTTCCAAAGAAGAGTGAATATATTATCTTCATCAGTCATCAAATGTCAATAGCCCCAGAGCTTGGTGTGGGTCCTTCCTAACCATGCTGCAATGTTTTGGTAGTTGTCAGAAAGACAAAAAATGTTGTAATACCATTAGTGGTGATAACAGGGCACATTTGGCCAAAGGTATGTATGTTATCCTCAGAGGACAGTTTGTAAAATTAAATTCTTTTATTCTATCATGTTGCTCCAAGGGATCAAATTGATATTGCTAGCTTGCCAATAGACATCTTTATTCCCTCATCTCATTTTTGACTCTCATGCTGTAATTAGACTGGATTGAGTGTGTGCAGATCTGCTGGCAGCAATAGCTGTTGTGAGTCATGTGTTAAATGGTCATGTCAAGTCCTTAATAGATCCTTTTATGTCTATCCACCCCAAATTCAAGACCTTACATTCTCTCTAGTACTTCTGTGTGATGGTCCTTGAGCAATGGGTAGGAGATTGATATCAATGACTCATCCATGGCTAAGAACCCAGTAACTAATTCTCAGCATTTGCCAGTCATGAATGTCTACATTGATCATTACATAACTCAAAGACTAAGGATGATCAGGGCATTAGTGTATTGAGTGTAAACATGAGTAGTATAATGCAGTTTGACAATGTGACAATCAGAAAAGAAACTAGGATTACTAGGTCTATGTCATCCCTAGTCATGGACTTTTGAACATCTTGCCAGGGATAAAGCTTTCCTATGTAGCATGTTACACATACAATTGGAAAGCAGTCAGGCACTAGTGGCTACATTTTCCTGTAAGGCTGTTATTGTAGAATGCAAGGACTGGTACACTATAAGATAATGGACTTTTCTCTCCTTGAAGGCTGCATAGCACATTACTGCAGGTGGAAACCTATCCATGCAGAGAATTTCCTGTTCCCTTCATGGTTCGTTTCTGTAGGTCCTACAACCAAAGACCTTATCCAACAGTGAAATATAGATTAAAACAACTGCAATGTTACATTTATACAACGATTAAAATGACTATAAACAAGAATGGGAAGAAATGCAGGCATGGATGTGGGGAATGTGTAATCCTTACTCACAGGTTGATGTAAGTTTAAACTAGTGTAGTAACTTTGGCAAAAATGTTTCCAGACTCCACACCCTCAGAACTCCACAGAATCAAGCTTACCTATATCCTTAATTCTAAATCAAAAAGAGATTTGATTACTACTGTCAAAAGCAATTCATGAACAGATGCATCAATAACAAAAACAAAAAATTAGGTTTCATAAGAGAGGTTACAGAACCAACTCCAAAATCTATGCAGATGTCTTTCAACAAACTGCCTTTACTTGTTCTAGGCAAACGAAATTGGACTAGGAAAGGTGCTGTGTTTACCCATATGCTGTTGATTTGTATTTTATTACCATAATCCATATTATAGCTCAAAGCACTGAGCTGAACTCAAGAAACCCAGGGACAGAGAGGGAGAACTGATGACCAAAGACATTAAGACTGGGCTGGTTTAACCCCCAGAAACAGCTGACCTGACAAGGGTTAGCTCTTGAATCCCAGACTGATGCCTGGGAATCCAGCATGGGATTGATCAAGAACTCCTGAATGTGGGTGTCAGTGAGGAGGCCTAGGTAATCTATTGAGCCTTGGGTAGTAGATCAGCATTTATCACGGGTATACAAATGGACTTCAGACTCCCCTTCAACAATGAACTCTCAGGGGAGGGTCTAAGCCCTGCCCTGGATGAAATAACAGACTATGGACACCCCCATGAAGGGCCTCACCCTCCCTGGGGAAATGAGGTGATATTGGTGGGTTGGTGGGTGGGCACAGGAGGAAGGGATGGAAAAGGAGAGGGACCTAGAATTGACATGTGAAGCAAACTTGTTTCTAATTTAAATTTAAATTTAAAAATAAAAATATATAAAAAATAGTTTCCCTAGATTTGAAAGATACTAATACCATAATGTCCTGACAATTTTCCCTATTTACTTTATTGAAAGTCAATTACGTAAATGGACATTGTCACTAGTAAACAGCTGATCAATGTATGGTGAACATTATGGGCACCCTGAATTAACATAATTGTATTCCCAATTGCTCTTTGGAAAGTTTCTAAAGACACTGTAAGAATGTGAAGTAACAGACAAAGGGACACTCAGAATGATTATTTCTGAGAAAGTTCAGGCTGATCTTCCCTGTCATCTCAGTCCCAGGGCAGCTTCCTTCTCCTCCGGGGTTTCTGTCATACTCAGGATGTGGTTGCAACACTGTGTCTCTTGCACAGTAATAGACTGCAGAGTCCTCAGATGTCAGGCTGCTGAGTTCCATGTAGGCTGTGCTGGAGGATTTGTCTACAGTCAGTTTTGTCTTGTTTTGAAACTTCTGATTGTATGCAGTATAACCATTAACAGTATTAATAGCTCCAATCCACTCCAGGCCCTGTCGTGGCTTCTGCTTCACCCAGGTAATGCCATAGTCAGTGAAGGTGTAACCAGAAGCCTTGCAGGACAACTTCACTGAGGCTCCAGGCTTCATCAATTCAGCCCCAGACTGCTGCAGCTTCACCTGGGAGTGTACACCTGTGGATAAAACGGTAGAATGTATACATTTGTATCCAGTCCCTGCTCCTTTTTCGAGTTTGGAACCAAAGTCGCCTTACCTGTGGTTACTGACACAAGAAAGACAAAGTTCCAGATCCATCTCATGGTGAGGAACTGTGTTTTCTGTAACTTTGGAGAGGACTCTGACCTTATGCTGTGCTGAAGTGTGAATGTCCTTGTATTTACCACAATAGACTCAGGTAATTTGCATATTCATGAGCAGAGTACTGGTTAGATAAGGAACTAGTTTCATTGGAGAAGAAGATATAGGACTACTGGATCAGGCAGCAGGATCCTGAGGGCCCAGTCCTAATCCACTCTGAGAATTTGTATAGCATCCTTCATTCCTGGGCTTTCTGCAGATGCTGAGGATGTAACATCAAGACCTAATTTTGCAATAGATTTAAGGCCTGAGGCAGTGGCTCCAATATGTGACAATGTTGTAAAACTGATTTACAGATGGCGGATGTAATGATGACAGTAATGGGAAATTAACACCTGCTGAGTTTGAAGCTTATAGTCTCCTTCCTGATATATGTGATTAATATTTGCCTTTTCAACAGATCATATACTAAAAACTGTTCCAAATATACCAAGGCAAATAAACATCAGAAATATTTGAACAACCGTGGTTATTGCAGCAATATCAAAATAACTAAATTATGGAAATAATCTAGGTATCTATCAACTGAAGATCTCATAAAGAAGACATATTTATGTAAACAGGACAACATAAGTTTTTCATCCATAAGTGGAATATGGAAATAACATTAGTTATCAGAAAAACGGATGCAGCTATAGGTAAATGCATTAATTAAGAACATCTCAGAAATCAGATGTTAAAAGATACTCTCAACAGTAGTTTTTAGATATGAATGTTTACATACTACTATGAATAGAAATATGTAATGAATTACAGGTGAAATTATCTAGTAGAATAAATATAAATTAGGAAGGAAAAGAAAATGAAGGGTACAGGTTATGGGGATCATAACACAGAGTATGAAATAAATGTGTATGCAAATTCTAAAACTATGTAAAATTGACATTAATACATGTCATATTTTATATTCTTTGACATTTTATTCCAGGTATAAAATATAAGGTGGTCACATCTGTACCCATTTTGCCCCACTGGTTCATCTTTGGACCTTCCAATAAGTTTCTGTCCATCTTCATGTCCATTCTTGTTTCAATAACTAATGACACAATGAATCCAATCAATTCTATCTATGTACACATAGATAGAGACTTTAAGTAGTAAACAAGAAACCACCAGAAAATTTCCACATAAAACTTATCATATTTTCTTCATTAGTCATCAATGTCAATAGATTCTCTGATTGTTGTGTGTCCTCAGGATTTTCGCTCCATCCATGTAACAGTTTTAAAAATTGTTGTACTATCTATAGTGGTGTGAACAGGAGAAACATGCACCAAGGTGTGTGTGATATGCAGTGGACAACTTATGAAATTCAGAACTTGTATCCTAGCATGTGGGTCCAAGAAATCAAACTGATGCTACTAAGTTTTCCAGTACACACCTTTACCTGCTCAGCTACTTCATAGTCTCTGACAAGAGAAAAAGAACTCAATGGTGTTTTAAAAATCTTTTATTTAATATCATGTTGTACGTTTGTTTCACTCTTTCTGACTGTATATCTTGGTTACAGAGTTGTTTTTTGGGATTTTGTGTGTGCTTTGTGTATTTACTGTTTTATTTATGTTTGTTTTAATCACTTTCCTAAAATATTTTTGTCTATTTTTTTCCTGGAGAGAGACTGACGGCGTGGAGAGTTGGGTAGGAGAAGATGCATGAAAGGTATAGGAGGAGTTGGTGGAGTTGAATCAGCGAGCAGAGTACATTGCAGAACAGTTTAAGACAAATTGTAAATGTAAATGAAAACTGAATAAAATAAACAACAAAATATAATCCCGTAAAATATTTAACAAAGAATCTTTACTGTATTTGACCATGGAAACATCATATGTCAACAGCAGGTGCAGGTCAAGTAGTAGACTCAAGAAAGGAAACCACAGAGGACACAGAGTTCCCTCCATACCAACCTCATCTCTCTACTGGTGACTATTGACACCATTGTGCCCCTGATGGTCCTGAGCTCCCGTGCAGGTTGGTTTCTCATGGCATACACTGAAGTTTCACTGTCTCCCTAGAACAGTAACATATCCCTGCAGCTTCAATACTCACAAAGTGCAGTTTCAGGGAAATATAACTGTTATTTTCTGGAGATGCTGACAGGAAGTTTCAACGGCTACAATTTTACTTTTCCCTATTGCATCATCAATTACCCTTAATTTTACAAAGGTAATGTGCTATTCAAGCTTTTCAGAAACTGAACATTATCAGGGAAGATGGATGGATTTGGAATATGTTCCCTAAATCGGACAATTCAATAGCACTCTGTGGGATTACGTGTGCATATGTCTTTAAATATCTGAAGTCCAGCTACAATATTAGAACAAAAATACATACTTGTAATGGAGACCTCGGGTACCTGAGGTACTGACCACACCAGTTTGGGGTGTGGACAGAGGGATGTGGGAAAGGCAAGAAACAAAAGAGGAAAAGAAAGGAAAGCTCATTCTCTTGGTTCCCAGCTGGGGTTCAGAGACTATAGAATGGTGACACAGTTCACATGTAAGCTACTTATCTCTTTCTTAATACATAACCAACTACCTTTTCACTTCATCCTTAGTGTGACTCATTTCTGTTTACACAGACTACATGAAAGCAGACTATTCATGTATATTTTCCTCTAATATCAGGTCAAGAATCAGATGCTCTTAATGTTGCATGATAGAAGGAGCTGGAAACAGTGTGGTGCATGTAATCTCATCTATCACTGGACAGGATTGATATGATGTCCTGAGGTCTGTCATTTCATCTCTTCTCATTATAGAGGACTACTTATCCCTACAATTCAGGGTGCTGGATGATTTTATCTTGACATTTCACAGTCTCTGTCTCTAGAGCTGCATTTCATACTACAGTTCATGGAATACTGATTGCTATCATAGACTGCATGCCAATTTAAGTAAAATTGAGAATGTTATTAACAGTAACAAAATTCTGGGAACTGTGAGAATATAAAGAAATACTTTAGCTTATATCCGGAATTAAAGTAATTTTAGGATCACAATGTGTGCACATCTGGTGAAATGAATCTGAATGTGAGCAGGGGTTTTCCTTGAATGAATATCACATTGATTTCTAGATTTTCTCCCTTTCTCCCTTTTTCATACCAACACCTGTGTAGACCAAGCTCTCCCATTCCAATGAGAATCCAGTCACTATATTGATCCACACATCAAGATTTTTAATAGTGAACTTAAAATAGTTTCCTCACACACAGAAGGTGAATCCAAAGGTTGTACATGAGAGTTTCCGGAAACCCCTAAGGAGCACCAGGTCTCCTCCAGTCTCCACTAGCTGCTCCTCACACTGGACACCTGTAATACAAGAGAATGCGGGTCAGGAAAACATGACCCACATCCACTGTCCCTCTAACTATTGTCCACTTCTTACTCATGCACCCACACACTCAGAAACTTTTGTACCCATAAATGACCTTTTAAAAGAGATACAAAGAAAATGCAGCTGAGCCACAACTTCATGGTGAGAGGCCTGTGTTCAGTACTGATCCCTGAATGGAAAGACCAGGGAAGTCCGGACTTGGATCCTCTGATAGAATTTAGTGTCAGGTCTGGGCTGCTTTTCATGAGTAGAAGGAGGACAAATTTGCATTTCTTCCTGCTATATAATCTTGATAGTGTGAAGCAGCAGAGGAGGCAGTTATTAGTAAAGAAGGCAAAGGATAAATAGATGAGGTAGGTAGCTGGAACGGTGTTAAAATGGTATGTGTTTGTGTGTGTGTGTGTTTGTGTGTGTGTGTGTCTTCACTATTTTGTCCTTTAAACATGTACAAAACCATTTCTGCTTCAGAATAATAATAAAACAGCATTTTGAACATTTAAATAGAATTGATAGTAAGCTGAGTTAATGTTGAATATAAATGCTAAAATCAACAAAACTCTATTGAGGACTGAATTCAGTAGTGCAGCATGCACAAGTGTCTAGACTTGATCCCTTTTTCTGATGAATAGATGCTGAACAATTATGACACTTCTCCAGATTTAACTATCTTAAGTGACAAAACTATTCAAATACAAAGTTTACCCAATGTTTGAAGCAAGTCATCATTTTGTTGGGGTGTGCTTATCATCCTTAAGCACCAACTCACCTTTAATCTTAATGCCCTTAATAGAAGAACGGTTCATGTCTGGGTTATCCAAGGATTCTCTTGCTATTTTTCTAGGCTATGTTCAGGTATCCTTCCATCTAACTTCCCTTGAAGATGTGGCAGTTCCATACAGTTTGGGCAATAAGTCATAGGATGAGTTATCTTTAAATACTGACATTCTACATGAGAAGAAGAAGATGAGTTATAAATCTTTCACTTGTTGAATTTATTCTATATGAAAGAAGCAAACTCACAATGACTTTCAATCCTGTGAATTGTGGCACTACTGTTCCTATAATTTTCACAGAAAATTAACTAAAGTTCAAAGAAATAACAACAGGTATGGGTTGGATTGCTTTTGAAACTTCAGGGGAAAAGAAAAATTCTCCTTAGGGTGACTGGTGTGTCCCCCATATTTATAGGGAAAACATGCTAAGTGAGAGGAAACAAGCCATGAAGACATGAAGACATGGAAAAAACACCATTGTTGGCCATTCTCTGTACCTGTTCTTTGGATTTCTGCAATTAGTGATGTGTGAGCACTATGTGATATCTTTCAAGACCTCCAGAAGGGTTGCTAACAGTGTTATAATTGAATATATTGAAGTTTAATTTCTAATTTTCAAGAATTAGCATATTTATTTTTAGAATTTCCATAATAATTCCGCTTTTACCAGAATTGCAACTGGTAATTTTGTGTAGTCACCGTTATTTGGCATTTACTTTGTTGCACAAAAACATTCTGATTTGAGTGAAATGTATTAAAGGCACACTTTACATCTTCTACTCCCTGACATCTAAGAATATTGAACATTATTTCGTATTCTTCACAGAACCATCTGTGGTTAATTTTTCTATATAATGATTTTCTTATTTGGTTTTTGTGATTTATTCATTTATCTATTCAAGCTACTAATATCCATCAAAC